GGAGAGGAGGGAAAGGTGGGGTGTCCAGGCCCGGGGACCGCCGGTGCCCTGCCCGCTGCGCGCCCTGCCCTGGCCACGGAAGGCACAGAGCACTGAGGCCTGATTTTCACCCACTATCCCGTCAAGAAAAAGTTTTAAAAACCAAACTGTCTATACCTTTAATAAACCCAGTAAGAAAAGAAGAGGCAGTGAAACCCATCAACCCCACAACATGGCAGAACCTCGGGGAGGGGTGGGGGACGGGCCGCCCTGGGCCCCTCGGCCCCTGGGAGGACGAAGGGGCCATCATGGCCCTGACCTGGGACCTCAGGTCTGTCCCCACGGCATCACCGTCACGGCCTACCTGCCCATTAAAGGCGTCTGTCCTTGGCAGGACCCCACAGTCCCCCCTAGGCCATGGTACACTTTCAAGTACTTCTTCAGTGTGAACTCAAATGCTGATTGCAAGAGAAATTTGCTTTTGAGAAAGAGTTAACTTTTCTCACCTCCTTTTCCACAATACTTCCAACTTTCCTTGACATAAAACATAAATACACTTTTATTACATTCTCAATGCCGCTGGTGACCAAGAAATTCCAGTACTGAAGCAAAAATACTTAAAATAACCTTTTCCAACTTAGAGATTGTCTGGAAAATTAACTTGTGAACTATATAGCAAATTGACAACAACAGATTATCGAGTTCTTTATCGGTGTGGAAATGTGTGTGGTTTCCCTCTCTCGTTAGAAGTGCATGCATTTAGAGGTCAAGTGCTCCGCGTTTACGTACGCACACCTGCGTATCCGCGGGGTAAATACCCCTGCACTGAAGCTAAAGGTCCAGAGCTCACAAACAGAATTTAACACACAGGAGCAAGTTTTATAAAGTATGTGCAAGATCTGTACAAAGAAAACACCGCTTAGAAAAAAATTTTAAAGACTTAAGAAAACAAGTGCCCCAGGCCCGCGGGTCCAAAGCATCAGTATTGCTAAGAAGCAATTATCCCCAAACTGGTCCACAGATGTGATGCAACCTCAACGTTAACGATCCTAGCACAGTTTTTTTTTTAAGCAATTGACAATTTATTTTAAAATTGGCATGGAAATGCAAAAGACCTAGAATGGCCAAAACAACTTCAAAAAAAGGAGAAGACTGGAAAACACACTGATTTTGGTTTCCAGATTTACAATTAAGTTTTAGCGATCAGGAGAGTCTGGTGCTGACACACAGATCAGCAGATCAACAGAACAAGACCGGTCCAGGAACAGGGCCACACACAGACAGACAACTGGTTTCTGTCAAAGGGGCAATGTGGGGAAGGACAGAGATTCAAGACAGATGAGACACCCCAACTGAGGCACTCACGCCCTGAAACTCCTAGGAGAAAACAAAAGACACTCCATGATCTTGGGTTGGGCAGGGACTTCTTTAGGCACAAGATGCACAAATCAAAAAAGGAAAAATTGATTAGAGACTCCATCAAAATGAAAAACTGCCCTGTCAAAGGAAAGTGAAAAAGCAAGCCACAGGCCAGGAGAGGATACCTGCTACACAGACGTCGGACAAAGGACTTGTGGCCAGAATACGCCTTCACTCAGTAACACGACAAACGGCCTAATACAGAAGTGCAGAGAAATACAGACAAAGTCACATGGTGACCAGCACACAGGGACTGTGTCCGTCGTAAGGAAAACGCAAGTTACGCCATGATGAGACGCCACCACACATCAGACTGACCGCAGAAGAGGCTGTGATGACCAGCGTCACTGAGGCTGGGCGCCTGAACCTCTTCTGAGCTGCTGGTGGGACTGCCAGGGGCAGAGCCACGTGGGGTGGCGGCTGCAGGCTCTTAAAATGGCACACACCTCCCAGCGGTCTCACCCCGAGGTGTCTACCCCAAGAACCGGCCGCCTCGGTTTTCACTCACGACCCCTTGTCCAAGGGGCCCACGATTTGTCTTTCACGTTGAAGTTCGGGAGATGGGGGCCCCCTGCCAGGTGACCATCGGAGGGTGGATTTTGGCCCAAAAAACTACAAGAATGAAGAATGTTAGACAAGGAAGTGTGAAAAGCTCGAAGCATTCCCGAGACCCTGGAAAACGTTCAGGTGCACAACGCGGAGGCTCCGGGCCCCTTCGCGTCCGGCTGCGCTCCCGGCGGCCTTACCGGCAGACGTCACCTGTAAAGTATGTCTGAAAACCGAGACGGAGGTCACGCACAGCCATGGCGCTCTAACGCAGCTATATGGCCGTCCCCTCGCGGCTGGAGAGGTTGTTCCCAGCGATGCGACTCAGAAAAGCAGAATGAACT